TGTAAGTTCCTACTTTGAAATATTTATTCAGTTCTGAAAGCTGTCATTCTTCAAAACAGTCCTTTACTTCCCTTGCAAAAGCAAAGAACGTTACACAGTGGTAGCTGGTGGCATCTATGAAGATCATTGCATCACCAATTCACCTGTGGGATAGACACAGGATTTAACAATCAAAGAAAGATTTTATCGTACTACTCCATAGCCGGGCAGTATGCATCATGTATGCAAGCCACACTTCTCTGGGCTTCTCACACAGGTTTTCAAGAACAGAAAAACCCAGTTCTAAAAAAAACTGCGCAAGAAGTGTGGAAGTGCTGATTGCATATGGGTTGTATACTGCCCGGCAATGGGCAGTGCAATAAAATCTATCTTTGGCTGTTAAGTCTCACATCTATTCCATGCTTGAATTGCAATGTGATAGTCTCCTATACCAGTTGGGGTTATTCTAGGTTTTTCTCTGAATGTTAATAAAGCAGGCCAAGCTGCCAAGACCTATCCTCAAACCAGGTTCATAAGGTTTGATAGTTCCTTTATAAACCAAAGTCAGACCTGGAGCTAATTCACCACACCACTGACTTGTAGTTACTGGCCATCACCAATTGTATCCTTGCAGAATTCAAGACAACATTGTGTGAAGACAACACTGGCTGACTATAGGATTGTTTGAGATTTTTCTCCTAAAGTTTTTCAGTCAAACAAACTCCTACTTAACTCAGTCTAAATTCCACAATGAGATGCAGGAACTTGAATGTGTCCATCTTTTTAACTGAACACATTCAAGTTCCTGGATCTCACTGTGGCATTTAGGCTGAGAGTTTAGGAGTTTGACTGAAAAACTTTAGAGAAAAAATCCCAACCAATCCTATAGCCAGTTAATATTGTCTTCACACAGCCAGCAGGGTACTTTTTTATCCTCCTTCCCCCTCTCTCTTGAAATGATGAAATAATAAGAGGAGGGGAAAAGTCTCTGAGTGCTGTGTTACAGGGCAAGTGCCAATATTCAGCTGAAGGCAAGAAACCTGTGAAAGAACAATCTTAATAATTATGTGACAAACTGTCAAAACTGTAGATCAGTGACCAACACACATATCTGATTACTATGAGGAGTGTAGCATAGGAAATAAAGGGAGAGGGAATCTAAACTTAGAGAAAGGAATGAGTATTGCACCTAATATAATTCTCTCCCCTGACCCATGCATCTGTCTGCACACACATAAATCCTCTTTTGGGCTACCTGTTGGCATTTGTCCATGATATAGCTGGAAAAATATTGTATATTGCTGGGTAGGGTTAGGTGGTTTGGGTATAGGAGAGCAATTTTTAATTTTATGGGACATTTTTAGGCATTTTGTATGCAAAAATAACTGGAATATCACACCAGAAATAAAAAAGATATGTGAGAGTTTGAAGAGACTGTCAGGAAAATTTGGAAGCCACAAAAGTGGAGTGAAAGGGACACTCATGGCCCATCATCTTCACTTTTCCCTTCTTTGACTTACATAAAACATTTATGAAGTGACCAAAAGATTTTCTTTTTATTCTGATCATCTGATCAGAGCATCTCAGAATGGTTGCAGTGGCACAGGGATGTGAATGGAATGACATGTCCTGGCATGTTGCTGGACAGAACACTTGGTGGGAGAACTTTATTTCATCCTCCTTCTTGCTCTTTCATCATGTTACTTTAAGTATGTTGTTGCTGTTGTTGTTGTTGTTGTTGTTGTTGTGTACCTTCAAGTCAGTTCCAACTTATGCCAACCCAAAGACAAACCTGTCACAGGGTTTTCTTGGGATGACACAGTGTGGGTTTCCCAAAGTCACCCAATGAGTTTCCATGGTCAAGTGAGGAATTGGATCCTGATCTCTAGGGTTGTAATCTAACATTCAAACCACTATACCATGCTGGCTTAATATGAATTAAGTATTTGTAGTCTTAAATAGAGGGATGGTAGATAGATTCCCCTCAATGGTGTCCTTGGTTGTTCCTTTCAGCTGCTTGAAACACATGGGTCATAGTTTCCTGTAGAGGTCAGAAATACCAAATGAGTTACAGATTACATGCTAAGCTAAATTATTATGTGCTTATCTATAGCTATTTAGGACAAGGGTTGATATTCCATTGCTTATAGGCTTGTGTTCAAAGGATAACGCTGCACAAGTCTGAATGTCACCTTGCAAGAAGTGACAAAAAACTACCATGAAGAAATAGTGTTGTGTGATGTTTATTCATTTTCAAGACAGATGCTATGCTACTGAACTTTTCTTTCAGAATCAAGCAACAAATCAATCTTTCAAATAACAAACAAACAAACAGCACCTGCTGTTGTCATTCCATGTTCAAATGATATTTCTGGGAAATGGTTTTAAAGCAGATTTTTCAAACTCCTGTGATAACAATATTGCTTTGAAATGTCAACCACCACAAAGAAAGCAAAGTGACCCTTGGAACATTGCATTGTTCTGTATGAATGCAATGACAATATTACTTTTTTTTTTTTTGTTAGATTTTCCTCACTGGAATGTTATATGTGAGCTAGGAAGAGTTTCTATCTAGTAACTTGTCAGTCTGTTGCAGCAAAAACAACACCTTGAAGATGCACATATTTTTATCACAAGTTAAGCTTTCAAGCATTGGAGCTCACTTCATTAGTTGTATTTCACATTGAGTAGTATCCTGTGGGTGGCATTCTGTTTGGATTTGGAACTGGATGTAATTTTCAGCTTCTGCAAGACATCATTTCATATTGAAAGTGGAGAGACACCACTATTATAAGATGAGATTCATTGGTAGCAAATGATGCAGCAGGTGGTCATAGCAGAGAAAGCATTAAATATTTCAGTTGATGGGGATACAGTATTCCTTCATAGAAAGTGGTAGGATTAGGTCTCTAACCAATTAATTCTACCCAGGCTGCCCCATGGCTACCTCAATAGGGTCCTTCAGCTTGGGTGCAACTCTCCTCAGGGACAGAGTAGTAAAGATGGATTCCTAAAGTTACACAGCACAGAAGCAAAGGAGATTGAAATGCATAGGCATGATCCATCCCAACTGCTATGTGGAACTGTACAAGCAAGTTGCTAAACCAAAGCTGGGCCAAAACTACACCAGCCCCCTCTGTGGCACTGCCACTGGTTTATCTGCCAAGCAGCTCCCTGCAAGAGACTGGTCAGTTGCCATAGCTTCTGCTGAGTTCAGAGTGGGGCACGTCACCATGTGATCAACAAGGAGAGGAGTGATCTATCTCCTTCTTATTGATCACACATTTAGACCTCAGCAGAAGTGATAGCAATGGTGAGGCTCTGACAGGGAACAGCATGGCTGGTGAGGCAGATTGGGGGCGCGGGGGCAGCTATGAAAAGGATCAGTTCCCTTCTCTGAGTTGCTCAGCACAGGGTAAGAGTAATAAAACCATGTTTGTTGTCTGGACAACTGGATCAGGCTGAAACAGACTCAAACCAGCTGTCCAGAATTTCCTGGAAACTCTAGAGTCTCTGCAGTGAATTCTGGATTCTCTTAAACCAGATTAATGGCTTAAAAGAGTGTTTTTGCTGTGGATGTTACCCTGTGTCATCTGGATAGATTACACCATGACCAGGCGAGTTTAGTATATATTCTTTGTGTGGACAAGCCCTCAGTCTGGCCTCAGCTGTTAGTTTATTATAAAGCTTGAAATGTCAAGATAAAACAAATTATCTTCTTTTGCTTCTTCTGGGGCTTTTATTGAATCACTTAAGCTTATCTCACAGCACTTACAAGAACGGGAACAGAAAGGAACGTAACGGGGCAAAAATGCATGTTACTGGACAGGAGAATGCCACCGATGCTACTGGGAGTCCTCAAGCCATTACCCAGCTGTTTCTGGCAGCCGATTTTTGAAGGATGGTTCAAAATTGAGTTCTGGGTGCCACATTTTAAGGAGGATATAGACATGTTAGAACAAGTTCAGAGAAGGGCAGCATGGATTTAAATTGAACATAAGCCAGCAATGTGATTCTGTATCCAAGATGTAAAATACAATCTTAGCCTGCATTGAAAGAAGCATAGTTTCTAAGTTGAGGGAAGTAATAATTCCACTATATTCTGATGGTCAGACCTGCATTTAGTTCTGGGTGCCCCATTTTAAGGAGGATATAGACAAGTTAGAACAAGTTCAGAGAAGGGCAGCATGGATTTAAAGAGGTATGGAGAATAAAGAATATGAGTAGAGGTCAAAGCATGGCTTAAAATTTCCTTCAAAATTTATTTTAGTTTAAATTTCAGTGGCAATTTTGGATTTGATTTCATATTTATCTTGCAAAGTAGAAAATATACAGCATGTCATACTTTTTTTAAAAAAAGGCCATGCTACAATAAGCAAATTATTTGACTTCCTTTCACCAAGGAATAGGACTTGCCAGTTTAGTCTGGCAAAAAAGAGAAAAAAATGGGGAGGGGAATGGGTCAGGGGAAGA